TCCCTGTGAGTGAAGGCTTCAGTTGTGTGAGGTCCCACTTTGTACCTTAAATTTTCTGTTAATATTACCTTGAAAAAATTATATCAACAATTCTCTCCCTCTTCCAACATGAGAAATGTTTTCTTATTAATTTGGAGCTTACTGTTTCTCTCCTGGGCTACAGCAGGTAATGCTTTAGTCATCCCCTCCTCTGCTGGTAAGTGCTCTGCCATAGTCCCAACATCTTCTAAGGAAAAACTCTGTCTTTCAACGGCAGCTTTTCCCAGCCAGGCAGCCTCTGCAAGAACCAAATCAAGGGGACAAACGGCACAGCTCATTTTTTCAGGAGGAAGCTCCTCCCCTTGAGGTGTTTATTATCGAGATTTTCTTCCTAGAAATATCCTATGGCTAAAATGGAAGTGATGAGATTGAGAGAAGTGTCCGTATTACAGAGATGTGACTGATCATAAATGGTGCCTTTCAGCCTTTAAAATCCATGAAATTCTCTGCAACATCAACACTCGCCATGAACAGCGTTGCCTCCAGCCGTGCCTGCGGTACCCGGGAGAAGACCACAAGCCAAATATTGGCAAGTATGCAAGTACGCACAAAACCATCTTTGCATTTTCCTGATGGCACCCTTCCCCTTTTGCCCACCAAACCTCTTTGAAATGAGGCTCACACACATCTGCTCAGAGTGCTGTCTTTTATTTCGGAAGAGGCCCGCGGAGCTGCTGGTGCATGGTAAGCGGGGCAGACCTAGAGTCGTCGGGGAGGTGGGATGCGGCAGAGGAACAACTGTGCCCGGGTGCTGCTCGCTGCTGCAGCTCAGCGTCTCAGGAGACAAGGGTAGCACTTGCACACTGTTTCGATCTTTACGATGCTATTTGGTTCCAGCGAGTAGGTCACCTCATCCTCACTCACCCTTGGTGGCAGGCTGATTTCCCTTGTGATGTTTCTGTAGTTATACTCCTTCCCTCTTGCAGTGGTGTGCTCCTCCTCGTGCTCCGCTGACACCTTCACCTTCCCGTCTTTCACTGTTACAGTGACTTCCTTGGGGTCAAAACCTTCCACATCCATCAAAGCCAAAAGCTTGTGATCATGGGAGGAGTTCAACATCCTGTTAAGCCTTCTTTGTACGCTGGAATAAAGCCAAGAGGACAGCCTTTCAGTCCAACTCATAGAGGAATGGGTGGACCACCTTGAGGACAAGAGAAGTAAATGGAAAACTGTTGGATCCATCTTTGTGCTGATGCACAGCATGTGAGGTGGTGTCTGCACCATCAGAAGGAGATCCCACCTGCACTCCGCAGCAGTCAGGGGTATTTCAGCATGCCCTCTTGGGATGGGGCAATCGTGGAGCTGAAAAGTTCTTTCACCTAAATATAGAGAAGCCACTGCTCCCCTTTCACATGTACATACGCCCACTAAGCCATGCATGTCCATCTGACACTTTGTCCTATATTTTAAATGGGTAGTTACAATAGATTGCATTTTCCAGTTAAGAGTTTTGTTTAAAGCAATCAATGGATAAGAGACACATCTGGCAAAAAAACCCAAAATGCTCCTGCAGAGCTGGGCTGGAGGCTCACTGAGCCATTAAAACGATTTCTAATACTGTCTAACAGTGACTCTGCTCAACCAGAAGGCTGGCTCTCATTCAAACCATTTGTAAAATACACAATGGAAGGGTCACCTCAATTCCAATAGCTAAATTGGACACAAGGCACCAAATTGAAAAGATAATGTGTGTGATGGAAGAGGAAATAGGGCAAGCAATGAGGGAATGGGCATGACCAATAAGGTGAGAAATCCCTAATGAGAGATTCGTTAGCAAGGTACACCCATTTCAGCAATCCTATTTAAAGCTTGCAATGATTCAATCTTGTATGGTGATTTTGGGATGCATTTTCTGTGCTCTGTGAGGGGTGGCTCCTCCATGTGTCCCTTTATATTGCTGGTTGGAGGAGTCTAAATCTAGTCACTCAAAGTGTTTTGGGCATTTTTTTTTTGTGGGAAGGGGATGGTTGAATTCCCCAGTGCAGTAGGCTGAAATCCTGCTGTGGTGTGATTTCAGATGGTAGCCCTGTGGGCTCGTGTTAGAATATGGAGTTGTCCTGAACGTGGCAGGGCTGTAGAGCCTAGCGCTCAGGGAGAGCATGCCCTGGCATCCCAGAGCCTGTATGGAGACCTCCTGGCTTTCATTCAGGCTGGATTTCCATTCCTTGACTGGGATTTTGGTTTGTGATGGTTCTGCAAGGGGATGCTGAGCCTGCCCAGCTCTGGTACCCAATGTGCTGATGAAAATCTGGATCTGGACACCAGCTACTGTAGCACCTGAGGGCCCAGATGTGAAATCTGCTGCTCAACATCCCTGTGTGAGCCACAGCCACGGGGTAAGCTTAACGTAACCTCACAGCAACTTTTGGTTTTACTGAAGTGTAAAATTAACCCAGTGGCTAGGCTTTTTCCTCGAACTTTATTGCACCCACTAGATAATGCGTGTGGCAGACTGTGGGCTGATACTTGCTGGTCTATGGGTAATGAAAATGTCACATTTTTAACTGACAAGACGAAGGTCTCATCATCTCCAGGTGCAACACAAGAGAACTCAAAGAAGCTTGAGTCTGGGGAGAAAATACAAATGCCACAAATGCAGCAAGAGACTCACCGCTGCTGATGACCAAGGGACTTCTTAGCCCTTCTGGTCTCAATGTTTGGTTGTGCCTTAACCCTTATGGTATGGGTTTATCATTCAACAATTCCCTCCCCAAAGGGTTTGGGGTTTTATCTCTACTAGAGTCAATGTCGAACTCCATAAACAAAACAAAATCGTCACACCAGTGGTCAAAATGGAGATGTAGAAATCCTGGCGCTTATTCCTCCTACTCTATGAGGTGGGAAAATATGGATACACGGCTGTGGCGCACCAATGTTGCACCTCACTGCATCCAGGCACGTTTTGGCTACTGACGAAGATAATTACATGTTTAACAGACTTAAACTGAATTTATGTGGAAGATGGACTTTGTTCCACAGCTGAACAATTTTGGATCTAGCAATGTATTTTATTTTAGACCCAGTTTGTGCAATGATTAATGTCACAATGCCATAGTCCAAACCCTTTCCGGCATAGGCACGGCCTGCGTGGTTCCTCTCGAGCTGCCTGGCTGAACAAGCCCTGCCTTCCCGTTCCCCTTTCAACTGCTTTCTCCAAAAACGGCTATTTCGCTCCTGTCCCGCCTGTTTCCACCTTTGCTCCTGATACCGATGCCAAACCTCCTTTCATCCTGCCTTAAAGGATGCCAATGCACGTAGAAAGCAGGCAAATATCTGTAACCTGCCCAGTTCTTGCTCCACATCCAGCCTTGCGGGGAGGGCCCTTCTCTCCCAGGGGCAGGAGTGGGGTGGGCGCAGGCAGCAGGGGCGCGGGGGCAGGCTGCGCAGGCAGGATGCAGGCAGCTCCTCGCGGAGCTGCTGCAGGTGCGGGTCCGGCAGCCTCATCTGCCTCTGCACCTTTCTCTCCACCTGCCTCAAATCCCACTTGGCGTCTTCCAAAAGGTGATTGTGTGATGACATTGTCACACCGCAAAGCGCGTCAGGGCACGAGTGTGGCCGTGGCAGCCTGCACTCATGGGGAGGAAAAAATTGCCTCGAGAGTTTCGTCTGGAGGTGAGCGTGTGAGCGGAGCTGCAGGTGCTCTTGCAGCCTTCCAGCAGGTACCTTATGACATCATGGGCCTGCTGACACGTCACAGCTCCACGGTTGCCACGGGAAGCGCAGCCTAGGTCCAAGCGCAACCCCACCCTGCCCGCTGCAGCTCCCACCCGCAGACCAG